GGAGGCGATGGTCTGATCCCGTGTAGAACTTAGGGACAACAGCGACATCGGTCAGGCAAAACCTTCGATTCACTATGATGTGATCTATTTCGTTATGGTACTCTCCATTGGGAGACTCCCACGTCCATCGCTGAGAAAGAGGCTTTTGGAATTGCGATTTACCATGGATGGTTTGGGTCGTCATGATAACTCAGATAGCCTCTCACCCTGTTCATTCCATTCTAGTCCGTGGGTCCCTATGTGACGTTCTTCAGACGTTCTTCTAGGTCCAATTTTTGCGTTAAAATCTCCGACAATGACCTTGAAGAATGTATGATCTTTTCTGAAGAATTTTTCGAGGTCCATATAGAACGCTTCGACTTCGTCTTCGTCATAGCTTGATGTTGGTGCGTAAGCAACGAAGATGGTCAAAGCCGACTTAGAACACATCGTTTCAACCGTAATCGTCCGATACGGGTTGTTAGTTGTTCGAACGAATCAATGCTCACGGTCAAATTCGATTTGACGAGGACGCCAACGCCACCGACACCTCTGCGATCGCATGTTCCAAGGAACAGTTCTTCTCCGGTGTCATAGACAGCGTGAAGAGGATGGCGCCTTCTCGTCTCAGCCAGGCCAATGACGTCGTACCTTATTCTTCTTGCTTGAATCTATAGATCTTCTACAGCGGATTGGTGAGCAAGGGTTCTTGCATTGTAGGTACAGATCATCATTTTAGTCCGTTTCGATCTTGGCAGCCTAGTTCGGCCCTGAGATTTTAGCAGCCTCTCCGTACTCGTCCTACCTGGCGCTGCCGTACCACGGCCTCTTTCGGGGTCAGGGGAATGAGGCCCATATTTGTTGCTGTTTTTGGCATTTTGATACCCAACGTGTAGCTTGCCAGGCTCTAGACATACCTTTTTAGTTACAAGAGAACAAATATAAAACCGATCCCATTCGCTGGAGAGGAACTTTCCCAAGGAGTATTAGTAACCATTCGAAAGCTGAGACTTCAGGCTACAGCCCCATGTCGTCAGTATTCGAAAAGCCTCTTTTAGACGCAGCTACAGAAGGGAAATTCTCACCGGACAGAGCTCGTTCCCTGACCTATTAGTGCTCTCATCCCGCCCTGAAGGTGTCCCTTCCATAGAGGGCGGTTGTTGACGATACACCGATCGGTCGTTGATAACAATTTGTTTGTGTCACCGACGAGTTCCCCCGACGACGACGACAAGCTCGCCCCCTGTGGTGGGCATGCAGCCGCTGTCTGCGCCGCCGTCGCGCCACGGCCAGGTCAGCGCCGCCGATAATTGCGGACTGGGGCGCGACGCCGCGCCGAGTGAGGCGAGGGCGGGCGGCGGACTTCCCTCCCAGTCCATTCCTGGTGGAGGACGTTCGTAGATTCTCCCCCGTCGATTCGCTCCCAGCTGAAATCATAGTGATATCGATTTCTGCTTTTGATCTCTTCAGAATTGAATTAGTTTACCCATACGTCACGCCCGCCGCTCGATTTCAGCCCCAGCGGATGCTGCAGATTTCGCAATCCCGACCAGAACCGATTTTTTTGTTGATTGAATTTTTTGACCTCCATGGGGCTTATAAATGTGCCTGTTTCGTTTGATGATTCCTTCGTCTTTTTCTGATTCCCATCTATTTCTTCGTCTCATTTCAACTTCTGTATAGTCTTTGTCGTATCGATCGCTGTGACTGACTACGGTGCCACTGGCAAGCCGGCATTTTTCCCGTCGTGGAACCGTCTAGAAAGTCCCCCATATCGCCGTGTGTGCTCTCTCTATCGTCTCGAATCCCCCATTTGACGGCAGGTAGGACTGAAATGTTTCAGGAAGATTTTCGTGTGATTTGTAGGGAGGGGAAGGGAGGGAATAGGGACGTTTTCATGCCGCTTAGTTGCTCCCGAGTCGACTTGCTGCATCTCAGGAGGTCGAGCTCGGAGGCGCTCATATATGGATGCATTTCTTCCCTGTTGCGCCGAATTGACTTGTGATTTTGGCAGATCACAAGACCGACTTCAACTAAAACTTGGTTTAAAATTTCTTACTTGCATTTTTTGATGTTTTCGATCAAATCCTCCATGAAGTCTCCATATCACTGTGTGTTCTCTATCGTCCAGAAGTTCTTGTTTTATTGGATTTGATCTCGCAATCCCGCCCGGTGCCGATTTTTATTGATCGATTTTTTGATCTCCATAGGACTTCGGTTCTAGTTGTGTCTGATTCATTTGGTGATTCCTTCGTCTTTTACTGATTCTCATCTATCTCTTCGTCTTATTTCAACTTCTGTATAGTCTTTGTCGTATCGATCGCTGTCACTGACTACGGTGCCACTGGCAAGCCGGCATTTCTAGGAACCGTCTGTTTTCCGTCGTGGAACCGTTTAGGAAGTCCCCCATTTCGCCGTGTGCTCTCTCTATTGTCTAGAATCCTCTCATTTGACGGCAGGTAGGATTGAAATGTTTCAGGAAGATTTTCGTGTGATGTGTAGGGAAGGGAAGAGGGACGATTTCATGCTGCATAATTGCTCCCGAGTCGACTTGCTGCATCTCAGGAGGTCGAGCTCAGAGGCGCTCATATACGGGACGAACCCCTTCCCTGTTGCGCTAAACTGACTTGTGATTTTGGCAGATCATAAGATCGACTTCAACTAGAGCTTGGTTTGAAATTTTTTCTTTGCATTTTTTGGCATTTTCAATCGAATCCTCTATAATGTCCTCATATCGCTATGTGTTCTCTATCGTCCAAAAGTCCTTGTTCTATTGGATTTGTTCGAAACGTTTCACAAAGATTCTCTTGATGTGGGGAAGAAAGGAAGCAGGGGGAGGGGTGATTTCATGTTTCATAGTTGCTCCCGAGTCGACTTGCTGCTTCTCAGGAGGTCGAGCTAGAGGGGCGCTCCTATGTGTATGCAACCCTTAAGGGTTGCGCTAAATTGACTTGTGATCTTTGATGAATCAAAAGACCGACCCCAGTCAAAACTTAGCTTGAAATTTCCATGATTTCTTTCTGCATTTTTTCATCAAATTCACTCTGACGTCCTCCAGCTGCCTGTGTGTTCTCTATCGTGCAGAATTACTCATTTGACAGAAGATTGGTCGTTTTTGTTGATATGTGGGAACGGGGAAAGAGGAGCTATTATGTGGGAACTCGGGGAGGAAGGGGTTTGTTGATTGAGATGTAGGAACGGGGAGAGAGAGAGGGGTTTCGTACTGCAGGGTTGCAGGTTGAGCTGCTGCTGCATCCTTTGGTGGAGCGCGCAGGCGCCCTCCCTGTTGCGCTAGAGCGATTGATGATCTTTAACTAATCAATAAATAGGCTTTGGCTGGATCTTGTCATCTCAGTTGATTAATATCTCACGAATAATTTAGTCGATAACAAGTCCTTATTCAACCTCTCTTTAGATAGTGATATGATGTTATAACTCTATATCCGGTAACGTCGAGTCATATGCAAGATTTCGTTGCTCCGAGGAATCGAACCCGAATCTCGCCGTTTCCGAGTAGCGCTTGGTAATAACCACTACATCGCTGAGGTTCTCGCCTTGTATCACTTTATCTGCGACGCAAGGCATCGATGATCTGTCAGTAGTAAGCATCAACAGTCTGACTTGAAAAGCACGTATCGGCATCTAGTAGTGGTATGATGTTATAACTTAATATCTCCAATGATGTTGAGTGATATACAAGACTTTGAACTCTAGACGGGAACGAACCCCTGTCTCACCCCTTCCCGACGGAAGCGCGTGCTAACCACTGCACTACGCGGCTTCTGTTCTGCTATCACTCTCGCTCGCTGCGATACAGAGTATCGAATATGACAGCAATCAACTGTCAACGGTTTGGCATAGAAAACACGTATCGGCAGGCATTGGGATCTTTCTGATTATCAGGGACCTAATGAGACAGTCAACATCATTCGCTGGAGAAGAAGCTTTCGTAGAAGTGTTAGTAACCATTCGAAAGCTGAGAGTTCAGGCCACAGCCTCACTTCTCAGGTTTTCCGAAACACACTAACAATTCGAAGAAAGAGCTCTGTCCGGCGAGAAATATACACGAGTGCAACGCAAGAAATCTCCTCCTATAGCAACGTCAAAAAAGTCTTTATCGAAAACCGGCGACTTGGGGCTGTAGCCTGAAATCTCAGCTTTCGAATGGTTACTAACACTCCTATGAAAGCTTCCCCTCCAGCGAATGATGTTGGTTTTTTCATTAGGTCCCTTATAATCAGAAAGAACTCGGCATGCGTCGGTAAATTGGTGCCAGGCTTGTCTGGGAGGATAACGAGCATTGACTCGACACAGCGGAGACCACCGCGAGTCATTGTAAAGGCCAGATATGCATTCGATCACCTCAGAAGAATTGAAAAATTGAGGGCTAATGAATTGCGCGAACCCTGAAGGGTTTGATCAACTGCGATATCTCTGACCTTTTTCCTTCTATTCTCAATAGAATTGAGTGTTGAGCAAAAATTCGACCTCAGACGGGAGTTGAACCTCAGAGATTTCGCAGGTCTAGCACACTGCCCACTTCATCAGTTAGAGGTTAGTTGACCGTGATTCTCCTGAAGTTAAGAGATATCAGGACTCGGGCTTCACCGTTTCGTAACCTGATCAATTTCTTGACTGGAAATACCTCTACCATCATGAAATAAGGCTGCTTTCAGTTCGTGACGGTTTATAAGACCGACTTCTGGGCTTGCCTCAGTGGGGTAGAAATGGGCGGGTGTTCTCGAGGGTTAGTGGATTCTGTTGATGGGACCAAAGCCCCCAATCAAACAACCGGCACCACACGGCGTTGTCATGGGCGGTCCACAACAGACAGCTACTGAACGGGTTCGACATAGGAACATACGGACATGTTACCCCAGCAGGGGCGCCTCTGGGGTCTGACACGAGTGACGAGAAGTTCTACTGGTGCTGGCTAGAGATTCTGTTGGGGTTAATGCTGAATCATTCATGGACTAGATCTTTCATTTAATCGTTTGTTCACCATTAGTACGATGGCTTTGAGCCACGGGCGGGAGTTGAATCCGCGTCATAGCCTTTCCGAGGGTGCGTTAAAGCCACTGCACTACCGGGGCTCTTGAACATACGTGATATTGGTGATGGTGAGGTTATGCTATAGGGGCACTCTTCCCTATCTTCGATTGAAAAGGAACATGTTGGCTTCCCATAATCTTATCAGGTTCGATTATCAATAGGGATGGAATCCCATAACCTGGGTGAGAGGAAACCCTCGCACTGGGGCTAGAGAGAGAGAGAGAGAGAGAGAGAGAGAGAGAGAGAGAGTTCTATGCGCGACTACGATTTCCCAGGGATTCGTTTGGTTGTGAGGGATGGTTCCGCTCGTTCGTTTGTTGTCGTCGTCGGTGGTCGTGTTGAGTTCGGATCGATATATTTCGCAATGCCCGGCTTGTTTGTTGTATCCATGCACTCACTCACACATTACGCTTATCCCTATCTGTCTCGTGTGATAGAATTTCATTTATTTCGATCCAGTAAGTCTCATTTGCTAACATTATTCCGTCGTGATCCGTTCTTAGACGGTCTGTGACACTCTAGTCCAGCCCTCCCAGTATAGATCTTGCCCTCTGCTGTATTCAATTTGACCGATTTCAGGGTAGATAGACCGACGGCGGTTACGCTATGGCTGAAGGACCAGCTGAGTGCGGTGTACAGGTACTAGAATCTTTCCAATTTTCAGTTCACATACTTCAACAGGACCTCTGTAGATGTCATTTTTCAGCGGGCATGGTCGCTGTCTTAAAGTCTATTGAGGTCCTTTTCTTCTCGATAGTCGATTCTCCTACAAAAAGCCTTTTTCGTATATTAGCTTGTCCATTTAGTGCTGTGGCACATTTCGATCGGGGAGAGCTCTGCTGTGTACCTAGAACCATCCACGAAAAGACCTTTTCCAATAGACCACTAATTTCGCTGGCCATTGACTAATCTCTTGATTGATAGCCCTTGCACTCTCCTTATGGTGTGAGCTGTTACGAAATATGCAGAAATAAGCCCAACCTTGGCTAGAAAACCTTCTAATTGATGCCTTCAAAGTGTTCACATAGGATACCACACTAAACAATAGCAAGCTTACCAGCCATACTTATGGAGTCATGGAAGAAGGTCTAACTATAGCCCTGTCTCTCAGCTCTTTTTTATCGAGGAAAAGTATTGTTAATTGTCAAAAGTCAACTCCAAGTCCGTTAAATTCGGTACTTAGATGGAGTCTCGTACGTTTTAACCCTTTCGGGACCGTGGATCCGCCTCTACTGCTTCTCCAGATCTCACTGTGGAAGCGCATTGTATGTGTTATTGTATTATTTTAATCGTATTATTGTTGTAATTTCCCCACTTATAACAGCTAATATACTCGCCTATAACAATATGGGAAAGTAGCAACAATAATACAATTGAATTAATACAATATTACATTCAGTGCGTCCCTGCACCGGGGGTTAGAGATGCAGAGGAGGTGGGTTTACGGTCTTGGAAGGGTTAGTGGAAAAAAAGTTGAAAGTTTGGTTCCCCGTCATCAGAAAAGTCCTAAACTGGAAGTGCGTGGTGATCTTAGGTTAAGGTTTCAATTGTTGATGTGGTTTTAGGAAGTCAGAGAGTACTCTATTGCCATAGATTTGCAGACTGGGTAGTTATTGTATCCTGCTAAGTGACTGGGATCTTAGATATAAAGCTATCAAAGCGTCTGATTTCGTTGTATTTTTCAATCTGTTATTATTCTATTACAGGTGTTCTGTCGTATACGACCACTGAACAAAACGGAAGAGAAGAATGGAGATCGGTTCCTGCCAAAGTTTCCCTCTGAAGACACCATCTCCATTGGTGTGAGTGGTCTACTGCTTCATTTATAGACAGATTTTTCAAGGATTCACATCTGTTCCAGCCCTATAAAGCCTGTTGATATCGTTTGGTTTGAGAGATCCGTATAGATTTGAATGTGTTCTCAAAGGGCTCTAGGCTTGAACAGGTGTGTAATCAATGCATATGAGGATATAGCGGCTGTTTACTACTTTGTTAGCTATGTTGCCTTTGGTGAAAAACATCAATAAAGAACGAGCCGTTTCTTTAGGAGTAGAAATATTCAGTAATAAGGTCGCATGATCAAGAACATTCTTTTCATTTCTACATCAATTGTTATTAATTCACACTTTTTCTTTGTAAGCCAAAACTCGAGTCTATTCAAACAGCTGACGTTTGGGCGATTGCGCTTTCTTCAGAGTTTGGAAAGATCAGGTTGCCCACAATCCAGTCATCCAATCACCTCCATTTTTCAAGCAAGAATTTCACCATAAATCTTTCAGTGGAGAGCAGTGGAGTAAATCTTTCAGCTCAAGTGGAGAGCAGTCGTGCAGGGATCTATGTCATGGACCCTGAATTCACCTTCATCAAAATTAAAGTCTCGCATACAGTCTCGTATCACGTGTGATCAGGGGCATTCCTCTTTGCACTGCGTTTGGATTGCTGGTGTTTATCCTAAACGCTTCCAGAATCTACACACTGATGTATCAAATTCGTGTGCGGGGACGTTGACTTTTTCTTTGGAGTCCTTCCCGTCATGTGTTTTCGTCCTGTGCGAGCCTATTGGGGTGCCTGGATCAGAGTTATGCTTGCCATTTAGGTGTTTTTGCGGGCACAGAGTAGCTTAGTTGGCTGACTGGGGGATCTGGGGGATTGTGGGCAACCTGATCTTTCGAGGCTTTGAAAGAAGGTGAAACCGCCGAGGCGTCAGCTGTTTGAACAACTTGTATTGTTTCAGCCTCGAGTTTCAGCTTGCAAACAATGAATTGTGAATCACTGAACATTGCCGAATTAATTCATAGTCGTTGGAGGGCATTACCACTTGTTGCTGAGTTAGTGGCGGCAAAAAATAGCTTTCGATACTCTATTGAAGACGAATTAGTCGTCATCGAATAATACATATACCATGAATCAAACGATTGCAAATTCGTGAGCTTGACATTAGTGAAGTGTGAAAGTCCTTTATTCAATAAAAAGAAGTGGCGTCCCATTTATCTTAGATGATTTTCAACCGCAAAGCATCTCATGAACAATTAGTGGGATATCGCCATCAATTTGTTAGGGTAGATGTCACGTTAGGTTATTGGTGGCTACCGTGAAATGAGGTTTATTGCTGGTCGAAATGAGAGTATTGGGTTGTCTGGCTTTTATTGCCCGTAACCACTCAGTGCATCGAGGACTTCTATAGAAGCCCTGACTACATTATGGTGAAGAAAAAAGTCGGGAAACTACTACTTGGGCTTTCTGCAATGATGGAGGGGTGGCTCCCGAGTGGTAGTGATACCCGGTGCAGAATTGATCCTCTCTCCTTAACATTCTGCGGCACTCATCAACGAACGGAATGGCCCAGCCTGCCTCTCTTCGAGATTGCAAGGAGATCTATCCGACTAGTATTCTACGACATTAAGACGGATTTCTCAGACAAGCGATGAATGCGGGGGACGAATGGAATGGTAGAAGTATTGGAATCCGCACAATAAAATGTGCAAACGAATCGTCTATGGACAAATTAGGGGTTATTTTTTGCGCATGAGCTCGACGGATTCATAGAACATTTCGAGGTGCATCTTAATTGATTTGGCGTGGTTCCTATCGTAGCTTTGACGACGTCATCGAGACCTCTCGATGCATAATGGATGTTTTCCATTTACGGCAGAATCGCCCTAGTGAGGTTTTTATGATCGCGACAATGCAAATAGGACGAACAGATGGTCACAACCCGTCGTTATCCGGTTTATCGTATCGCATCAATATGAATTGTTTTCACATCTTCAAGCAGTTGACGTGTGTCACCATGCACTTGGTTCAGCTTTTGACATGTGAATGAGAGTATGTACTCATCAGTGATGTAAGTGGCATCACATAAATGATTGGATTCTCGTGAAGCGGTAAAATCAAAACACCAAGGTTTCTTCAGAACTAAGAAGAAAATAATACCCTTTATTTTGAAGCAAAGTTTTCAGCTTACAAAGTTTCTTACCAATCTGAAGAGAAAATTTATTGATTACACAAAGTTTTGTTAGCAGAGAACGAGTTCTATCACTCCTTTTGGGACGCTAGACGACCGATCGCACAGCCAAGCCGCGCGCGATTTCCGTTATTCGATCAGAATTTCTTCCTTCATTTTGCAAAAAAAAGTTCTAGGTTCTTGTGTTGAGCTAATGCTCCATATATTTCTCTACACGATTGTGCACTTTTCCCACTGTATAAATCGTAAGCATGGGGAAACATATTAGGCACAGCAAGAAACGTAGTTGTTTTGCTCTTGCAGCGTTCAATGGAAACCTATCTAAAAACCAGTTTTCAGCATCAGAATCGCCGATGTTTGTGCTATCGAATGACAGCCAAAAGCCCAACGAAAAGTTTTCCTTAGAACTCAGCCGAGCAAGCAAAGCAAACCGAGTGTGAAACATGACATCGTTTTCGCTGCTACAGTGCAATGAAGAAAGGCTTTTCAAGGAACGAAACACATTTCCGAAATTCTCTGATTTGAGGCTGTCGAATAATGGTCAAAGAAAAGTTTCATAATAAAAAAGTTTTTTTTTCCAGCTAGACCTCCAGAAGATGATGTATCTTTTTGGATACACAACATCTTTCAGTGGGTCCGTTATACTTACGCTGTTGAGGGCGCGCGTGGTGCACCAGTTAGAGGTGCTCTGCGACGCGCATGTGGTCAGTTAGCAGTTAGTAGTTCGATCTTGCCCCCAATCTTACCAGATCTTTCATCCCTTTGAGGTCGATGAATCGGTATCAGACTTATCTGGAATGATAACAGCATTTGTTTGGTATCGGCAGAGCACTATGAGTGATTGTAAAATCCAGATATGTAATCAGTCACTGACGACACTCAGATGAAGATGAATGTGGGATGCTTTTATTAGGGGGATTTATCTTTTAACTAAGGCTGTAGTGGCTAAAGTTGTGGTTCGCTGCTTATCACAAATCTTCGCTTTTCTGATTTTATTAAATCACTCAAAGTTCGTTGTTTGGGGTTTTAGCAATAAGAATGATCTGAGGAGGAAGTGTAGTGTGTACCTTTGGTTGT